GCATGGAGTTTAGCCCCGGTGAAAGTCTGCAGGGCTCTGCTGTGTGCTTGGGGACCTCCAACGAGTAGAGCAAAGGCTGCTGCCGCAGCAGGCGCGGTCTGAGCAAACACAGGGCGCAGGAGAAGTCCCCGGCCGTCTCGGCAGTGCGGGGAATCGGCGCGGTCCCGGTGCGGGCTGTGCCTGTGCCGAGAGAGGCCGGGGGGACGACGTGGAGGGCGAGGTGGCAGGAGGAGGCGATGGCTCTGCCAGCTGCCGCCTGGGGAATGCGGCGAGCGTTTGCTGCCAGCGGCGACTGCGGAGGAGTACTCTGCGTGCAGATCCACCCAGAAAACCGTATTTCCTTCTTAGATTGTGAAGGTAACTTCGTATTGCGAAAGTGATGCCAAGTGTACGTGTGCAGGTACCTGTGCCATAGGTGGGAATGTACTGCAGAGCCGAAGCTCGTTGTAGGAAAACTCAGGGTAGACACCCAACCCCGGAGACATCGGAGTGGCAAAGACAGGGGGGTGACGTCCCTTTCAGACGTGATTTCACTGATTGTCGAGAGGGGAGAAGGCAGCGTTCTGCCGGGGGAAGAACGTCCTGCTGTGCAATATCGAAAGAGGGTTTGTGGGCCGAGGGAGCGGGGGTCAAAGACAGACGTAGGTCACGAGGAAATGAAAATGTGCCTGAAAACAGGCAGGGAGGTGATCTGCTGTGGCAGGCTGGAAGGAGCTGGCGTGTACTGCAGAAGTGGATGCAATATGTTAGGGTCGTTTTGCGTTATTCTCTCCTGCTCACCCCCCGTGCCCAGCGAAGCGGAGAGGATGTGCTAATGATGGCCTTTGTTTCTTCCCCTCTAGTGAAGAAGAGGAGGAGGAAGACAGGTCTTCCCAGTACTACGTCCCCAGCTACGAGGAGGTGATGAACACAAGCTATTCTGAGCCCAGAGACTTGGACAGGAGCAACAGGATCAGCATCTCCCTGCCCTCCTACGAGTCCCTGACGGGGCTCGACGAAAGCACCCAGGCGTCGGGAGCTGCCGGCGCGGAGCCCGGGCCGGAGAGGGCGGCCAGGAGAAAGCGCCAGAGAGCCAGCCAAAGACTTAGAGAGGAATCTGTGATGCCGCCGGGTTTCTGGGGGGGGGGTGGAAAAAAACACACCAAGAGGGGCTCGCTCTGTGGGTGCGGAAGCGGTCAGGGCTCCCTGGAAGCTGCGATGTGGAGGACACGATGGGTGCGTAGCGCTGTGGCACGGGGACAAGACAAGCATTCCCGAGGACGGGGTTTGACAAAAGATGGTGGGGAAAGCAACTGGAATGCCCAGAGGTCTGCTGCTCTGAAGGGAATGCAGGCTGCAAGTACCAAAAGTGTAATTTGTGGTGTTTTACATCAGGACCACCCCATGCGTCTTCTCACGCCTCTCCCCCTCGGGCCAGCAAGACCCTTCCGAGCCAAAAAACTGATACCCAATGAGGATTTTCCAAGGGGAAAAGGGAAATGTGGCTGGGGTTTTTTTTTGGTGTCTTTTTTCTTTTAGAGGAAGGCAAACCACGTCGCCAGAGCAGCACTGCAGCTTTCCCTCGCTCCCGTCTGGGGCCGGGCTGGTGGCCCGTGGCCAGTCCCGACGGCTGCCGAGGTCCGTGCTTGCTGGTGGCCCTGCGCTCCTCAGGGAGAGGATGGATTTCTTGCCTCGCTGGCCTCTGTCGTGTGCTGTGCTCCGATGCGAAGGGACGGCGCGGTTGAGGCAAGTGGATCGATGCAGGGGCTTGGGAGCCCCGAGCGCCGGGGCCGGGAGGTGTGCGGGGTGAAACGACTGCCGAGCGTGCGGCGCGGGCAGACCTGTTCTCAATAAATGAGGTGTACATGGCGTTTGCGTGTGAGTGTGGGAAATGAAATGGTCTGTTTTTGGAAAGTGTGGGTAGAGAGTGGGATCTCCCACGAATTGGTAGCCGAAGTCGGCGTGGCCAATCTGCCCGCTGCCTCTGGGCTGCCGGGGCGGAGGTGGCTTTGTTGGTCCGAGGCTGATATCCCAGCAGGCACCCCCCGTCCCACGGAGGTTGGCTAGGTGCTACGGTCGGTGAAAGGTACGAGGCGAGTGCAAGGGACCGTAACGAAGACAAAGAAGAGACGCTGCTCCAAATCCCTGTGACCGTTTCTCTTGCTGAGTTGCTGTTGCATATTGCGTCTCGTAATTTCTGTGGTTGTATCAGAGGAATTTCACCTTGCTGTGCCCCAAGGCATGACCTCAGCTGGGCGAAATGACTTCATTAGAGAAGGGACTCGGTTACTGAGGAGAAGGGGGAAAAAAAAAGTTGAAGAATAATACCCCAGAGGGAGGGATTTGGGTCCCATCTGGTTCCTGGTGTGGGGCTGGAAGTGTGGTGCAGCTCCTTGGAAGGTGTCTCTCGGGCACGGGTGCCCCGAAGAGCCTGCCCGCAGCCGGAGCAAGGCACGAAGTCCTCTCTCCCTGGTGAAGAAATGCAACCCTATCAGGTGTCTTAGCAAATCTGGTGAAGAATGGGTTTAGGAAGTGAAGCTTCTTGTCGGAGCAGTTGGGAGGGGAAGATTCGTGGAGCTTCTTCAACAGAAAGTCACATTTGATATGAAGCAGACTGGGGAAAGCAGAATCTTTCTGGGAGTCTCATGTGGGACAAGAGGAGCAAAAAATGACATGAAGTGCAGTGACCACAGTGAAACGGCCGTGACTCATGCAGTAATGAAGCGAAAAATGCTCAAATGGCTAACGAGCATCTCCGGCTACCTGCGTACTTGCCCACTGACGGTATGTGGAAAGCAGAGGGAGATGTGTGACGTTGCAGAGCGGGAGAGCTCCCAAACCTGTGCCCATCGCTGTCCTAGGGCGGCTTGTCCCCACGTGAAAAGGAGCTGGTGCTGTAGTGTGTCGTAGGAGAGCGGTTATTCCTGAAGGTGAGCGCAATGGAGGTGTTTACCCCAGGTAAGACACGCTGGCAGGTGAGAAGTCTGGATGTGCTTCCCCACGCGGTGTTGAAGACTGCACGTGCCCATGTCTCGGCGTCTCTGGAAGGTGACTCGCGCTTGATGGCAACTCCTGAGGTGGGCGGACCTGGTGTGAACGTGTCCGAGGAAGCCTGGTGGTCCTTAGTTTTAAAAAGCATCGTTGCAGGGCGGGATTGCGGCTGGGAAACCTCGGCCGCGGCGTTCCACAGCCCTTGCAAGGGGAGGACAGGCGGAACGCATGGGCAGTGGGGGCCAGCACTGGGACGGGAGCCAACGTACCGCGCTGGGGTGCGCAGAGCAGCGCTCCTTTGCAAAATCAGCCGCTTCTGCCTCAAAATGAAGCGTGATAAAAGGTGGCAAGGCTTGCTAGCTGTTCTCCTGTACGGGCTGGTTTGCGGTTGGTTCGCCGGCGGTGCCAAACGGCCACGGCGCAGCTGACCATGCCCCGGGTCAGCAGAGCAGCCCCTTTGTCCGGGCCTGGCATTCAGGTCCTGCCC